GTGTACTAAGTGGAAAGTGTATTTGAGAAGAATGTGTGTAATGCTGTTTTGGGTTTGAGAGCTATAGATGCCTAGTAAATCTAGTAGTTTTATAGTGTTATTCAGTTCTTCTGTTTTCTCAGTCATTTTCTGTCTGCTTGTTTTATTCATTATTGAAAATGGGCATTGAAATCTCCAGCTATTATTTTTGAATTGTCTACTTTCAATATCATCATTTTTTTCTTCATGTGATTTGCAAATCTGTTATGTGTACACATGTTTATAATTACTACATCTTGTTGATGGATTTTTTATTATAAATATCCTTCTTTGTGTCTAATAACACATTTTTATACTATATTCTATTTTGTCTGCTATTAGTTATTGGCACTTCAGGTACCTTTGGGCTACTGTTTGCATGGTGTATCTTTTCCCATCCTTTTACTTTCAACCTATTTTGTCTTTGACTCTAAAGTAAGTGTGTTGTAGATAGCATATAGTTGGATCTGTTTTCTAAGCTGTGCTAATCTCTATCTTTTAACTGGTTTGTTCATTCCACTTATATTTAATGTAATTACACATCTGGTAGGGTTACATCTGCCATTTTATATTTGTGTTTTATGTTATGTCTTTTTTTGTACCTCATTCATTCATCACTGCCTTCTTTTGTGTTAAATTGATATTTTCTACTGTGTTATTTTCATTCTCTTGTCTCCTTTGCTATTATTTTAAAATTCATTTTTTAGTTATTGACCTAGGGATTAAAATTAACATCTCAACTTAAAACAGTGAATAGGGTTGTTGGAAAAGTCATGACGCATTTTTGCAACGAAAAACAGAAAAATATGTCATGACTTTTCCGACAACCCAATAATTTGGATTAATACCGATTTAATAACAGTGGTATACAAACACTTTTATATAACGCCATCTCTCCCCTTCACTTAGTGCTGTTATTGTTACACAAATTATACTTTTATATATTGTATACCAACTTATGATTATTGCTTTATTTAGTTTCTTTAAACTTTTGTATTAGTTTTCTGTTGCTGCTTGTGTAGAAAAGAGTTAACATGACAGGCCTCACTGCTTATCCTTAGAATGAGCTGCTTATGAGGTCCACCCTTGACTGGCATCTGAGAACTTGGATTTCAGGAGGTTTCTAACCTGCCTGACTGAAAAGAACGGTTCACTATGCCTAAGATGCTTACAAACAGTATAATTTATGCTGAACACCTACCTTTTTGGGGGGGGAATCTGGAATTTTGGTATGTGCTAGGCAGAGGTGCCTATATGATCAGCTCCTAATAAAAACCCTGGGTGCGAAGTCTCTAATGGTCTTTCCTGGTTGGTGACATTTGGTGCTGAGGGGAACTAAGTGTGTCCTATGTGATTCTATTAAAAAAGGATCCTTAGGGGCTTGCCTTGGCCTCTTCTGGACTTTGTTCCTTGTGCCTTTTCTTTTTGCTGATTTGGCTTTGTATCCTTTTGTCATCATAAATTACAGCTTGTCAGTACGAGTATATTGCTGAGTCTTGTGAGTCTTCTAGCAAGTCATTGAAATGGGTTGTCTTGATACTCCCTACATACTACTGTAATAGATTCCCACAAATTTGGTGACTTAAAACAATGTAAGTTTATTATCTTACAGTTTTGGACATAAGGAGTCTGAAGTGAGTCTCACTGAGCTCAAATCAAGGTGTCAGCATTGTTGTGTTCCTTCTAGAGGAGAATCTATTTTCTTGTCTTTTCCACCTTCTAGAAGTTTCCTGCATTCATTGACTCATCATGGTCACCTCATTCTATCTTCAAAGCTAACAATGACTGGTTAAGCTTTTCTTATGCAGCATCACTCTGACACTCACTTTCCTGCTTGTTTTTTTCATTTATAAGGACCCCTGTGGTTATATGGGTCCAACCAAATAATCCAGGATAATCTTCCCATCTTAAATTTCTTAATTTTTCATATCTGCAAACTCCCTTTTGTCATGCGAAATAATATATCTGCAGAAGTTCTAGGAATTGGAGTGTGGACATCTTTAGGGTGGACCATTTTTGTACTTATCACAATCAAGAGAAATAAAGAGTTAGAAACAAAAGATACATTTATTCTATCTTTTATCTTTTTTTTAACGATTTTTATTGGGGAATTGGGAGAAGGGGGACAGACAAGTTGCTGTCCTTTTGTTCTTCAGTCTAGTTGTGGAGGACGTTGCTTCACTGGTCCAAGTTGGCACCATCATTGTGTTCTTCCTGGGCGAGGCAGATCAGTCGCCGCCTTCTGAACGGCCGCTCACACTGGTTGCTGGCTACACACGGTAGCCCATAGCAACCCACTGCAGCAGGGGCTGCAGCTTACGCCGTCGCTGGCAACTCACGGCAGCCCAGCTCCAGGTCGAGCTGTTGTTCAGCATCTTAGCTGTAGAGGGCAGTGTCACTGGCCCTCATATGTGGGATCCGAACCGGGGCCCTCTGGCATCCCAAGCCAGCTCTTAACCATCGCGCCACTCTGCCGGCCCTCTGTCTTTTATCTTTACTTATGTAATTATCCTTAATTATCTTTCTGCCTGTGGATTCGGCTTACTGTCTAGTGTCCTTTCATTTCAGCCTTAGGGACTCCTTTTATATATCATGCAGGAAAAGTCTGGTTGTGATAAATTCTGTGCTTGTTTATCTAGGAATGTCTTAATATTGGCTTTAGTTTTGCAGGATGGTTTTGCTGGATATAGGATTCTTGGTTGACAGACTTTTTCTTTCAGCACTTTGAACATGTCATTCTCCTGCCTCCTGGTCTCCTAGGTTACCAGTGATAAATCAGTTGAGCATCTCTTGTACATGATGATTTTCTTCTCTTTTGCTGCTGTTAAGATTCTTTGTCTTTCGGCAGTTTGAGTATGATGTGTCTAAGTGTGGATTACTTTGAATTTATCCTACTTGGAGTTTGTTGAGCTTCTGGAATGTGCAGATTGTTTTTCATTAAATTTGGGAAGTTTGAGGCCATTATTTCTTGAAATATTCTTTCTGTTCCCTTCTTTTTTTCTACTCTTTCTGGGACACCTGCCATGTATTTGTTGGTGTGTTTGATGGTTTCAGTTATTGTACTTTCCAACTCCAAAATTTCTCTCTGGTTTTCTTTTATAATTTTTGTTTATTGATATTCTATTTGATGAGACATCATTCTTATACATTCTTTAGTTCCTTAGACATGGCTTTCTTAGTTCTTTGAACATACTTAAAATAGCTGATTTAATGTCTTTAGTTAGTCCAACATTTGGGCTTCCTGAGGGTCAGTTTCTGTTGATTTTTTTTCTTTACTGTCCTTGCATGTCTCAAATTTTTCTTGAAAACTGGACATTTTAAATATTATAATGTACCACCTCTGTCCCCAGTGTTTTTTATTGTTCTTATTTATTCATTTAGTGACGTTTCAGGATTAATTTTTTAAAGTCTGTCTGTCTTGGTTGTGTGTGGTCACTGAAGACTGCTCAGTTAGTTTACACAGAGATTTCCTTAGATGCCTGAAATCAGTAAGTCTCACAGTCTTTTTTGAGAGGTTTTCTGTGTGTGTGTTGGGTCTGGCCTTCAACGTCATTCCAGGCATTTACAACTCCACCTTAGTCTTCACTTACTGCTGCTTGGCCCCTCAGGTGAGCCAGAGGTGAAAGCCTAGGCCTTTCTTGAGTATGCAGTGGCTCTGGATATTTGTGTGACTTCTAGATTCCCAGAAATCTGTTGGAGCTTTTCAAAGCTATCTACTGACATCTCATTCCTCAGCTTTTCTAAACAAAATTTTTTGTTAAGCATATTGCTTAACCCAACTGTTTTCCTTTTACTTAGTCAGTTGAGGTAATGCAGTAATTGCCTGATGTTTCAACAAACACCCCAGGAACTGGAAAAACTTTGAATCAGGCAAAATAAAGACAGTCTTTCAAGTGAGGTCTGCCATCCAACCACTAGATAGGTCAAATAATAACAGTTTCGGGGGAATTGGACTTTGAAGGCATTCCAGTCCCATTCTGCCCTCTCCAATGGCTTCCAGGCTGCTCATTTTCATGGTGACTGTTGGCTGTTGGTTTATGTTGCTACTTCGGAACTGGGAGTAGGGATAGGGAGATAGGAATAGGGAAAGTCAGAACACCACAAGACTCTCTTTTTATTGAGATTCTTAAATGCTGCCTAGATTGGTGCAAGCTTTTGGTTAATTTCAGAGTTCTAAAAAATTTGATTTTGACAATTTTTTTTTCTTTTAAGATTTTTTTATTGGGGAATTGGGTGAGGGGAACAGTGTTGGGGAATCCAGGAAGGGGAACAGACAAGTTGCTGTCCTTTTGTTCTTCATCCTAGTTGTGGAGGATGTCGCTTCACTGGCCCATGTTGGTATTATTATTGCGCTCTTCACTGGTGAGGCAGATCAGTCACCGGCCACTGGATGGCTGCTCACAGCGACTCTTGGCAGCTCACGCTGGCTGCCGGCCACTCACGGTAGTTTATGAGAACCCACTGCAGCTCCACTGCAGACTACGCCTTTGCCGGCGACTCATGGCAGCCCAGCTCCAGGTCGAGCTGTTGTTCACCATCTTACGTGTAGAGGGCGCAGCGTCATTGGCCCTCATGTGGGATCCAAACCGAGGCTCCGCTGCTCAGAGCTGGCGTCCCAAGCCAACTCCTAAACAACATGCTACTTGGCCGGCCCGACAATTTTTTCTTTTATGGAAGAGAATTTTTGTAGGTCTTTACTGTTTTTGTTGATGTCTTCCCTTTTGTCTCTAAACATGACCCTTTTTTCATCTTTGTATCTGCTGTTGTTCCGAAGGAATTTGAATTTATTAGATTATTTTTTAAGCTTTCTGACTTTCAGAAATTATTCTTTTTTCTAGCTTAGATAGACAGGCACCTAAAAAATGCTGAGTTAAATTTAATATAAAATAATGACTTAGTGCTTTTTTAACTAACTTTGTGTGTGTGGCTACCTCTTTTGTTTCTTTTTATTTATTAACATGTGTGTCTTTTTACATCTTCAGGCAGTAAAGAATGCTGATGGGAGAACCATTTCCCTAATTTTCAGATTGTTGAGTTGGTTGCCATGATGGGTAAGTTCAAACTAAAGAAATTTTTTGTCCATAATAAAGGATGAAATGGGGGAGAAAAGTTTTTCTATGTGTGTATGATAAACTTTTTTTATATAGTTTTATGATGTAGATTTATGTAATGTTTTTATTTATTTGCTTAATAGCTTTTCATTTAAAGCACTTGTGTTAATTGTTACAATTTTGGAATGACCATTTTATGCAGGACATAGAAGAGACATTTAAAATAAATTGTTAAGGGCCTGCCGAGTGGCGTGTTGGTTAAGAGCTGGCTTGGGATGCCAGAGGACCCCGGTTCAGATCCTACATATGAGGGACAGTGACACTGCCCTCTACAGCTAAGATGCTGAACAACAGCTCAACCTGGAGCTGGGCTGCCGTGAGTCGCCGGCGATGGCAGGTGGGTTGCCATGGGCTACCGTGTGTAGCCAGCAGCCAGCATGAGCAGCCAGCAGCCGCTGTGAGTAGCCGTCCAGAAGCCTGCGACTGATCTGCCTCACCC